TTATATACGTATTAAATCTAAATAAATGACCAACAATTTGTTGCTTTTTTTAGAACAATTTGTTGCTATTATCATTATCTTACGAACTTTGAGAATCTTAACGAGACGGAGGAAATATATGATTATATGATGATCATTATACGTAGTATATTCGTAATTGCTATTGTTATTATAAGATCATTATTTTATAGTCATTATTACTGTTAATACAAGATCGTTATTATATGATTATTATTTTTATATGATCGTTATTATATGCATATTAAAGTAATGATTATTTCAAACAATTTTATTATGGTTTGTATTATCATTGAACTTTCTTACACACTCTTTTTTTTGAATACCAGATTCATAAAATAGGTCACTTTTAGTAATTTAGAAGTTTATTTTGTTTGAAAATGTGATACTATTATGTTTTGCATGATATTTTATAATATTACATTTATATATTTATAAACATTTCTATAAAATTTTAAAAAACTACTAAAAAATTAAAACGACTTTTCATGCCTAAACCCCGCCTAAACTCGCCTAAGCTTCAAAGGCTTAAGGTTCGGGCGTGCCGCCTCTTTATAACAGTTCGATTTTCCTATTCTTGATTCCAAAGTCCCACCCCTAATACCTGCTTAGGAAAACCAAATATAGTATGTAATTTGAAGGAACAAACAGAGCTCTAGTCACGGGTAAAATTTGTAAAAATATCTACGAACTCATTCAAAGTATAATCATTATAAAATGCAAAATTAAATGAAATCATTAAATGATAATCAAAGCAATTGAGTACATACAATAATAATAAAACGAATGCCACTTAGAATTTTAATTGCCTGGAAACTCAATAGTTTGATTCTAACGGAGTTAAAAGGCATAGATATGGATAATGATGAGGGATATAATGATTAAAACAAATTGTACAAGTACATCTTGTTTTAATGTTGCACCAACATTTTTATTATTCCTAAAATATCCCAACCACTATTGGTGCTTATAAGTTTTTATTATTACTACGTATTATATTATTAAGATATCTTAATACTATCGTATATTTTTTTGTTCTATAAACATTACTGTTATTATAATTGGTTTTACACTATTTTTTTTAAATTCGATCGTTGTTTATGAAACGTCTTAGATAATGAATGCTAGTTAGGATGTTTTTACTTGGACTGTAATTTGCCCCAGACCAGACCAGACCAGTCCAGATCAGACCAGACCAGTTCAGACCAGACCAGACCAGACCAGACTTGCATAGTTATAAAAATACAAAGAAACCAGACCTTACCAGACCAGACCAGACTTGGATAGTTATAAAAATACAAAGAAACCAGACCTTACCAGACCAGACCAGTTCAGACCAGACCAGATCAGACCAGACCAGACCAGATCAGACCAGACCAGACCAGACCAGACCAGACCAGCAAATTACAGTCCAAGTAAAAACATCCTTAGCCCCATGCTGAAAATATTTGAGAGCCTATATCACACATCCATACACCCGGCCCAAGGAAGACAACCCAACAACTAATACATGCCAATTTTTGTTGGTGGCATTTTTGTAATTTAAAAAAAATCACGGCTTCCGCTAAATGAGCAATAATGTATTCATAATGAGCATATGCCCTATTTTATTGAGTATTATAAGCCAAATAATGAGTATCACGATCTCTGCTTCACATTTTTAAATTCACCTTCTTTTCCTTATTTTTCCTTTATAAAAACTTATTAAATTATATTTATAATCAACTCTTATGAATTTCATATGCGAATCTAATGTAATATGATACTTTTAAAATATGTCTTGATATGACATTTTAAAAATGAGCATAACATCAGTATCAAATGAACATACATAACTTACAAAATGTGCATTCATATGAAAATCATAAAGTTTGTTACTTGAAAATCACAACATTTGCATTGAGCATCAAACATATCTTTTTTAGATGAAAATCACAAATTCTGTTAAATGAGCGTTAATGAACTTTTAATGAGCACCAGACTATTATGTGGAGTATTAGGAGTCTAATGTTGAACTTTTAATTCACTTTCTTTTTATTATTTTTTCTTTTACAATTTTTTTAAAGAGAGAATTCCCTAAATAGGACTAAAAGAAAGTAGAATTGCAAAAAAGGACATAATGTTTTAAGTTCCCTTAATAGGACTAATTATTTGTATTTGGACAAAAATAGCCTTCCTAATACCTGCTGCATCGATTCGCTGGGTGCGATCAATGTCCAGGTAAGTTTCTTCTTCATCTTTTAATTTTTCTTCTGCTCCTACGTTAATTTCTTCTCCAAGCTCCAATGTTTTCTTCTTCTACAACTCTTCTATTTTATTTTTCTTTTGGATTTCCAAATTGTTATTAATCCTGAGTAATTTATTTTAAAAGATTCATATTATTGTTCTCATCACTTCAATTTGAAAAATGCCACAGTTGATGTTTAGTTGAACACTAATTTGTAGTAATGTCACTTTTATGACATTACATTTGCTAAAGTGACAATTTCAAAGAAGAAAATGACATTTCCAAAGAGAAAAAAAATGACATTTTCAGATTGTCATCCTGGTAAATGTACTGCCACAAACGTGACAGTTATTTCAAAGAACAAAATGACATTTCCAAAAAGGAAAAATGTCATTTTCATGACATTTAAAAAACAAAAATGACATTTTCAGATTGTCATCCTGGCAAATGTACTGCCACAAAACGTGCCACTTTTTCCAAATAAACAATAATTTTGACATTTTCAGATTATAAAAGTGTCATTTTCCTGAATAAATTAAATTCAAACCTAAAAATTTCAAATTAACAAATAAAATTCAAATCCAAAAACTTCAAAGAAGAAGAGAACAAAGGACCAGAAATTTGAAGAGGATTAGAAAGAGAAGAAGGAGAAGGAGAATGAGCAGAAGGAGAAGAAGATTACCTGTGATCAACGACGGAGCTGTGGTGCGAGGTCATAGCCGATGGCGGAGCTGCAGTCTATGGGAGGAAAGGATGTGCGGAGCTGCTGGGGTTAGTCGATCTGGAGAAATCAGCGATGAAGTGGCAGGGCAAAGCATTGATGAAGGAGGCAGAGCGATGAATTGCAGAGGCGAGAAATTGGGGTTTAAGTAAAGAAAGACAAAAATGTAATCTGGATTCCTATTTAGGGAATTAAAAACTTGAAGTCCTATTTTGGAGTTTAATCTATGTTTTAGTCTGGGCAATTTTTTTTCTTTTTAAATTATATGTATAATCAACTCTTATGAATTTCAATATGCGAATCTAATGTAATATGGTACTTTTGATGCATGCAGTATATGCTATTTCCAATTGAGCATACATATATTACAAAATGAGCATTAATATGAAAATTATAAATTTTGCTATTTGATCATCTAAGACATTTTCAGTTGAAAATCAAAACATTATTTTAATTGAGTATCAAGTCTAATTTAGGGTCTGTTTGCAACAACTTCTGCTTTTAAAAAAGTGCTTTTTTTAATGAAATGAGGAGAAGTGATTAAATAAAAGTTGATATTGTTTGAGAAAAAAGTGATTTTGAAAAGTAAAAGTGGGTAGTGTTTGGTAAAATAAATGCTTTTTGTGTAATAGAAAAAGTAAAAGCACTTTTAAAATTTTAAAAGATAGATTTAAATTTTAAAATTGCCATGCTTCCGGAATACCAGAGAGCAGAACTCGCAACGATTGTGAAACTCATGTAGTTCCGTTTTCCAATTGTTAGCCAGAGTATAGATCGCACGCTGGTCAGGGGCGGATCCAGAAAATTCTTTTATTGGGGGCACTTTTTATACATGTGGATATAAATATGATAAAATATACTCCCTCCGTCCCATTGGACTTTGCTAATTTCTCTTTTTTGTTGTCCCAAAAACTTTGCCACTTTCTTATTAAATCAATTAATTTGTGGTTCTCCTCGCAAAAAAAATGTAGTTCTGCACATTTCTCTCTCAACTGCAAAAACCTCAATCACACAGTTTTTACTATTCTTATTTCTCACCTACTTTGCACTTGGGAAAGTCCACCGGGACGGAGGTAGTACTACTACTACTATAGTGAAAATAGAGTCATCTACTAATATTTTAATTTTGATAAACTACTTTTTGAATTCACTTATACATTAAAAGTTATGTATTGCACAACGAAATCCATCTTATATAACTTCAATGTGACTCTATTTTAAACAATGGGAGGTTTGCAAATTTAATCACATAACTTTCATATATGCTCGTTATTAGTGCTTTAACTTTACTCGCTAACAAATTTGGTCATGTAATTAATAACTATTTGGAAATTAAGGATTTTTTCATCGAATAGTACAGTTTCGATAGAAATTTGAAACCGGGTAATGTCTTTTCTGGGATATTATTGCTAGAACGTGGACTTTTTCGAGTAAAGTTACGAGACTAATAACGAGCACAACTAAAAATTATGGTACTGAAAATGCAAATCTCCCTTAACAAATTAATGTTAAGCAAAAATCAAATTATACATATTCTCAAACACAACTACAAAAGGAGTGAATAAACTGAAAAGATTTAGAATAAAATATTAAAAGAAATTTTCGCTTTTCACTAATTTATCTCTATATTTTCCTATGCTCACTTGATAACGTTCTAATCGAAATTTGCTTAGATGAGAGACAAATAATATCAAATGGAGAATCGATTTCCAAAAAAGTAAAACGATTAAATAAACTAGCTAGATATAGGTGAAAGAAAGAATACAATTATACAAAGAAAGAATTCCCTAAATAGGAGTAAAAATGTTTTGAAATTTCAAAATAGGAGTATCATGTTTTTATTCCCTAAATAGAAAAAGAGTACCAAAACAGTTTTACTAATCTTAAATTATAAGGTCAAATAATGCTAGTCTATAATTAAACAAATACACACACTATAATAATACTATATAAACTACGTGCTCCGTATAATCTTCTATCTTCTATACTTAATAGCAATACAAATACATCTCTACCGTTCATCACTTTTCATCTAAAAATGATCCCCACCATTCAGTTAAAAACATCTACCGATCTCTTTCCTTCGTATTTTCTCTTTCCCATTTCTTCCCGTCTTCTTTCTGCATCCGATCTTTTTCCTTCCTCCAGTGCAACTTTTCTCCACCGATATGTTGCTTCAACTGTTCACTTTCAACCATAGGCTCCTAATTCGAGTGCTGTTGTAGCATATCCGCTGTCCACAAATCACAATGAAACCTAGGCAGATTAATCAAGGCTCGATAGAATTTTGCTGCAAGGGGATGAAGGAGAAGCATGTGGTTGGCGGACCGAAACATCATCGCCACATCCGCCGGCGCCACCAACACGTTCGACGCCAAGGTTATCTGAAGGTGATTATCTCAATTTAGCCAATTTCCGTTTTGATTATAATAGATTCTTTAATTTTAAGCTGATTTATAAAATAATAGTTCATTCAAATCAAGATTCAAGATTGGTACCCAACAAATCGACATTCATTGTAATTTCTTCCCAAATTTTGTTTTGTTTCAAAATTTTGTTCTTTCAGTTGTCAAAACTTGGGCGGTTGGAAAGCTTAGATAGAACAATCTGGAGAAGCCCATTGAAGGTAATACATCTCCAAAAGGGATTTAGTGATTTCTTAAATTATATTGCGTTTTTCTACAGTTGTAAAGCGAATTTATCAACTAAACTAAATAGATTTCGTAGTCTATTAACACAACACAATGGTTTCATTTTGCCAAAGATGGCTGCTAGGGTCGAAGGCATTCATACTTTTAGACGACTTTGTTTCTTACCAGTGGAGGCAGCTGGTGGTTCAAAATTGAAGCTATTTCATATTCACCAACGACTTCATTTCTTACCGACTGTGGCGGCTCTTATTCAACATCAAAGGCATTCCAAATTTACCAAAATCAGAGTTAAGGTTAAATGTCATTTCCACTCATGCATATATGCAGGTTGAATTATTTGTATCTCTTCTTCAACATCTATGACTATTTTTATGATATCTTAAATTTACTTTAATAATAATATGGTAAAGGGATTTTCCTGTAATTCTTCTTTCTTTTACGTCTAGGAGTCTTGCAATCCAACAGAATGATTTGGACTATTTGACCCTACTTAAAGAAGAAAAATTGTTTATGACAAGTTTTTCTGCAACTCTTCTTCCTTTTTTGTCTCTCAAATGAATTTAGTTGTTTGTAACCGTAAACAAACATTAGTACTTCTTGCTTCATAAATGTAGTGCAATAATGTCAAGGGAAATCAGGTAGTTTTTTTTTACTTATCTAACCTCCTATAAGGTTTTGTTTTTTTGTAACCAAGGATAGCGTTTTTACAAGAATTATGCAGAAAAATAAACTACTAAGTAGTATCTATAGTGTTATTCAAAATATGGACAGCGTTTTTCACAAGATGGAGTATCTGCTCAAATGTTTTACAAAACAATTATTGAATTAGATTCTTGATAGCTTTAACACTAACTGATCAATTCTTATCCAAAGAACCAAAACAAACCAGATAACAATATAAGACATTTGTGTCACTTTACCTTCTTTCAAAAATTCAATCTTCTTTAATCTTTACTTATCGTTTAATTGAAATTTCAATCCTTGTGTGCCACAACCACCTTTGTATTGCTATTTTCAATTTCAATTAATCCAACCTCCTACAATTTTGCTTCTTCCTCACTTTTGCAAATTAAAGCCATCTCGAATCCTCCACCTGGAATTCATACCAAAATGCGTTCCTCCACTCAATACTTCCTTCTACAACAACGCCCTATTTACAACAACGTCCTATTTACAACAACGTCCTATTGCTGAATACATGGTTAGTAAGCCAATCTAAATCAAAATTTTCAAATGTAATATTGTACTATGGTTCTTTATCATAAGGCTAAATTTAGTTTATTCTTTTTTCAATTTGTTTACTAACTCCTACTCTTTACTTTTTCATTTTGAATCCCTAAATTCTTCAGTGATATTAATCTAAATCTCCCTTTTTTAAATATGTGCAATATATAAAAGATGATCTTTTTTCATTTCTGCATCATAGGAAAGATATTTGTGTATATTTCTTTTATTACTGCATAGTTTGATCAGTGTTATACCTGCATATTTCCTTTCCACTTTGAGTCTCTAGCATCCTAATATGGGGAGCTAGATAAACACATAAGACATAACACATAGTGTGGGATTATTTGTAAGAAAAGAAATAATTCTATCTACATCAGCTACTTATGCGAGGATGCCACCTAGATTCTATAAACAAACATTAGTACTTCTTGCTTCATAAATGTAGTGCAATAATGTCAAGGGAAATCAGGTAGTTTTTTTACTTATCTAACCTCCTATAAGGTTTTGTTTTTTTGTAACCAAGGATAGCGTTTTTACAAGAATTATGCAGAAAAATAAACTACTAAGTAGTATCTATAGTGTTATTCAAAATATGGACAGCGTTTTTCACAAGATGGAGTATCTGCTCAAATGTTTTACAAAACAATTATTGAATTAGATTCTTGATAGCTTTAACACTAACTGATCAATTCTTATCCAAAGAACCAAAACAAACCAGATAACAATATAAGACATTTGTGTCACTTTACCTTCTTTCAAAAATTCAATCTTCTTTAATCTTTACTTATCGTTTAATTGAAATTTCAATCCTTGTGTGCCACAACCACCTTTGTATTGCTATTTTCAATTTCAATTAATCCAACCTCCTACAATTTTGCTTCTTCCTCACTTTTGCAAATTAAAGCCATCTCGAATCCTCCACCTGGAATTCATACCAAAATGCGTTCCTCCACTCAATACTTCCTTCTACAACAACGCCCTATTTACAACAACGTCCTATTTACAACAACGTCCTATTGCTGAATACATGGTTAGTAAGCCAATCTAAATCAAAATTTTCAAATGTAATATTGTACTATGGTTCTTTATCATAAGGCTAAATTTAGTTTATTCTTTTTTCAATTTGTTTACTAACTCCTACTCTTTACTTTTTCATTTTGAATCCCTAAATTCTTCAGTGATATTAATCTAAATCTCCCTTTTTTAAATATGTGCAATATATAAAAGATGATCTTTTTTCATTTCTGCATCATAGGAAAGATATTTGTGTATATTTCTTTTATTACTGCATAGTTTGATCAGTGTTATACCTGCATATTTCCTTTCCACTTTGAGTCTCTAGCATCCTAATATGGGGAGCTAGATAAACACATAAGACATAACACATAGTGTGGGATTATTTGTAAGAAAAGAAATAATTCTATCTACATCAGCTACTTATGCGAGGATGCCACCTAGATTCTATAAATTATAAGTAGGGAAAATAGCACTTTTACTCCCTAAAATAGTCAACCTATTGAAATGTCAGACCATTATTACGAAGATGGTAAAGGTCACCCCTCAATTGTCCAAATTGGTGTAAATGTGATCCTTTTAGGGTGAAATGTACTCGCCCACATTGTACACATTTCACCCCTCAAAGGACCACATTTACAGCAATTTGTACAATTGAGGGATGACACTTACAAACTTGGAAACACGGGTATGGCATTTCAATACAGTGACTATTTGAGGGACTAAAAGTGTGATTTTCTCTTCTAAGTATGTCCTTAGGAACTACTTACACCAGTTATAGATGTATCTGAAGTAAGGAATTTTTTTGAAGGATTTGCCCGTCTTAGCCTTAAGATTATATAAAATCCATATAAGTGCAACTGTGAATGGAAAGGCTTGTGAATTAAATCCCTTTTAACCGTATTGGTGGAACTTTTAGTTTTTAGTGGATGGAGGTAGTACTTTAGATCATTGCCATATGTAATATGTATATTGTCTCTAAATTTGAAACAGTAGATCACTTCATGTTAAAACCATCATTATAAAAGAACTTTCACTATTATATGTAATAAGTATGTTGTCTCTAAATTCTGGAAATAAGCATTTTCACTTTTAGGAGTAAACATCTTGACTTAACATGTACATTATAGGATATTATAAACCGTTTTAGTTTACTTCTAGCTTAACTCTATTTCCATTATGAGAAGGCTCTTACTTCATACGGAGTAATAAGTATGACATTCATAATTGCCTCGAAATAGTCTATTATCTATAACTGAGACTTTAATATGATATGCTTCCTTCTAATTTGTTAATAGAAGAGTGTTTGTATGTCTATTAAAAGAGCATTTTTTTTTATAATGAGTTGTTAACCATTAATTGTTGGAGTACATGTGACCCAACAGTTTGCTGCTTCAGGAACATATTTTCTCTTTCTTTTATAATAGCTTTCCATTACCCAAAAAATTTCAGCATATATTTCATTGTGAAGTTATTGAAAACTTGCTTATTGAGCCCCCAACTCCAGTTGAATCGAACTTGGTAAGATTTAGTACTTTTTTGATGTTTTAGTTGATAGATGTTGCTTCTTAGTTTTTCAAAGTGTAGCTATATTGTCCAAACATCGTACCCAACTCTATGGGCCTAAATTTCACGCAAAGCACATTCTGCGAGCGAGCTTCCTACAATGTACTTAGAGTTCATGTGAGTGTATCCATTCAGTTTTACTTCTTATGATGTACAATACCAAAATCGGAGATTAATGTAAAGTTTTTTTTATCAGATATAGTTACGTGACCAACTTAATTGGTATGGCAACACTGATTTACATAAGTGCATATAAGTTGATAAACATGAATTAGTCATTGTGATGTAATTTCAGACACCTACTATGTGAACAATGAGAGTGTTGGGAGTACTCCATCCACATCCATTGTGTAAGCGTCTGCCCGAAGATGAGATTGATAGCTCGGACTTTGTAATTTCTCTTTTTTTTTAAAGAAAGACAGCTACATATTCATTATATCAAACTTCAAGTTCGAAATTACAAACAGAGGATGACTAAACCAAACTTGACAATTACGCATTGAAACAGTTGTCTAGACAAATAGTAGAAAATTTATGCTATCTAAGCTAGCAACTGTGTCTCTAAGATGAAGTTAAAGATTTTCATTCAGTTGTGATACATCTCATTCTCAATATTTTGTTTTTAACCTTTCACAGTTTCACCTGGATTTACATATTTTTGTTTTTCTTTTCTAAATCAAATGACAAGATGAAGTTATGAAATAGATAAGTATGTTTATGATAATTCTAAACATTGTGCAGTGTCCTGACTTTCTGAGTTATATTATTAGATAACCATGACTTTCTGAGGTATATTATTGGAAAACCATTTCATGTGAACAAATATAGTATGATACTGATATTAAGTTGTGTTGCTGGATTCAAATTTGTGCTGTCAAGGAATATCTAACACTTATCCCTTAAATGTTTTAATGCACTTTTGATAGATACTACATCCAATAAAAGTAATTAAAACAACTCAATTGTGTTAAGTCCAATCAATTTAATGTTAGAATTCAAATTAAACTAATTCAAATAAATCAGAGTAATATATATTGAATCTACGTATAACTTACTTAGTAGTTTGTTGCAGGAGATTCACTCTCCAGAACTCCTTAATTGAATCGGATGTTCAAATTAAAAGTGGGTGCACTAGGGCTGCACAAGAATAACCCGAACCCGCATAACCCGTCCGATCCAACCCTACTTGGCCATTTTTAATCGGGTATTTAATTTTAAAAAATATTCATGGGTTAAATATGTACGAACCCGCACCTAATGGGTAGGGTTGCGGTATTATAATCTCAAATCCGATGGTAGCTAACCCGGCCGAAAGTTCGATTTACTATTATTATGCTACAATGTATTAGAATAATTTCTATTTAAGACCGATGCATTCTGTCTAAGACTTTATGATATTGACATTATTAACAGTTATCATTTTGACTAGGAGATTATTATATACTTCCTCATTTTTTTAAAATGAAACAATCCACTTTTCACATTTGTCAATACAAAAGTTTGACAATTATTATCTTTCATTCCTCATTAGTAAAAAAAATTAAAAAATTAGATTTTGAAAATTTGAAATGTGAAGAATTTAATAATATTTTTTTTAATTTCATTTATAATACATTATTAAATAAAATAGAGTCAAGGTAGAACATGTGAATAGTGGAAAAAAATCTAATGTTGCATTTAAAAAAGAACGGAAGTAGTATATATGTTTGCTTCTAAAATAATTTCCTTTACGCAAGAATGTTTTGATGTCATTGCCCAAAGATTACTCTTATAAAAAGTACTTGTATTTGTTTGTGTATTTTGAAAACAAGTTAACCGAGAATAATATTGCATGCATTAGTTGCCCATACTAAAGATCCAACCCAAGTATATATATTTTTTCAAAACCCGACCCGTTCGTGTATGGTTTACCAACTTACGATAGTATATTGCATACCGTGAGTTGGTAAATAGTCAACCTGAATAAATTGGGGAGACCTAAAAAATATAGCAAACCCGACTCAACCCGCCCCATGTGCAACCCTAGGGTGCACTTATGGTGCTTATGAGGAATTTAGGTCAATCATCCAACTTGTGCAATAGTACTTGGTTTTAGTGGCGTGACATGACCAGAGCCGGCCATAAGGCCATTTCACCTAGGCACTTGCCTAGGGCCTCACTTTATATTGGGGCCTCAAAACAAAAATTAATTAAGTTATGGAGTAAGTTTTAAATTTAGTTGTTCGGAATTGGTTCTGGAGTTTGACGAAGAACTTTTTGGCCTAACCTAAACTTTTTCACCTTATTTAATGAATTGATAGTGCGGCCTGCGTTTGAGGCTTACTGTCCACAAGCCGCATATGGAGTATTATCTTTTATCATTATATGCTCCTTTTTTATTGAACTGATAACATTTTTTGAAAGTTTTTGGTTAATAACTAAAACAATAATTGAAATTGGGCGTTTAGTTAGTTAGCTAGCTACTACAGAGTAATATTTTATAATTGCAATTGGAATTGTTATTTTTTATTTTTTGTTAATGGTTTTTCTATTAATTATTATCTTTTTTTCCCTTTTTAATTATTATCTATAAATATGCTAAATATGTAGGAATATATAAAGAAAATTGTTGAAAAGAGAAACAATAAATTTTTTCTCATTAATATATAAAGAGAAACAATAAGTTGAAAAGAGATGTGGTTATTAAATTGCTTGCTGACTCTATTGATCGATTGTATAGACAATTTTTTCTTCTGAAAATTGTTGGCAATGACAATGCTGATGTTGAATTACTATTTTATCTTATTTTTATGAGTATGTGTTATATAAATCACATTAATATGATATGTATCAAAATAAGTATCACACTTTCTTTTTTGGATTGTTTAAAATAAGTGTCAAACTTCTATTTTTGAAAAAAAAATCATCCCAAAAGCCTTTTTAATAAAATAAAACAGTAGTAGTCAACTATAGTACCTAAAAACTCTTAATTTTAAATTATGGAAAAAACATACTCGGTCACATATTATGATACGAAGGTGGTACTAAACGTTTTTCGCCTTGGGCCTCCAAACTGCTGGAGCCGGCCCTGGACATGACAAACATATTATTGAGGCTCAAATGTTGTTAGGTTCAACAGTGGTAAAAAACATTTCATCCCAGATTTTCCTTGACTGCTTTTGACGTGAGATTGACTCACCTTCCAAGTTCCAATGCAAGAAATTCCTCCTAATGGTTAGCTATGTGATGATGATCAATAAGAGTCAGGGTCAGTCATTTTAAAATGTGGAAATATTCTTACGACAATGGGTTTTAGTCATGGGGTAGCATTACGTCATTGTATCTAGACACAAGATGACTAAAAATTTCTTCCATGTGACGATAGCGGTAATCATTCAATTTTCACATTAAAGGTGATTTAAAGAGGTTTTACCGATTTGTAATGTTACATTTTATCTTAAAATGAGAACTTTATAATTCAAAGGGCAAATTTTATGCATTCATATCAAAATGTAATTAAATTACTACCACACAAAATAATTTTACACCCGTGCAACGCACGGGTGAAAAAACCAGTATAAATTTGAAAGTAAGTGAGGAAATAAAAAATTATTGGGGGCACACTGGATTTTCTATTGGGGGCACACTAGTTTTTCTATTGGGAATATTAATAAAAATCATGAAATGTTTAAGCTAAAGTCCAAATTTATTGGGGGCATGTGCCCCCATTCCAAATTTATTGGTCGCTGGTTTTTTGAAGGAAAAATTCCCGGGATATGACTAAAACAAAGTGAGTTTCTCGAAATGTGACTAGTTATGTTTTTTTCTCGAAATATGACCAAAAATCGAAAAAAAAAAGAATTTTTCGTTATATTAAATTGTGGAAGGCCAAAAATACCCTTTTTTTAAAAAATATGCATTTTACACTAATTTCGTCCGGGTAAAAATATTGCACTTCATGAAGGCGTTATTGCACTACATTTATTGCACTTTATGGCGGTATTCACTGCACGACATAACATTACATAAAATGAATTTAGCGTTTTTTAGATTTCATAACTTTAGTTCTTACATTTGGTTAAATATTACAAATGATGCTATGAATTTATAGATATTTTTTCATGTCATTTTTAGTGCACTTCTTTTCATGTCATTACACTTTTTACATTATTGCGCTTCTTGCCATATCATTGCACGTTTTGTCATAACTCATTGCGCTTCTTGTGATGTTCATGGCATTAAATATAAATTATTCATTGCACACTTATTTCATCGTCTTCAACCTAGGTTCGTCTTCAACCTCGGTTCGCCATCAACCTTGGCCGCCTTGACTGAAGAATCTGAGTTGTAGGAGCGGCAGAGGGGCGCAGCTGAGCGGCAGTGATTTGGATCGAGTGCAATCGTGCGGTTGGACGGCGACGAGGACGGCGACGCTCAGGGCTTGGAACGATGTTGACGACCATGAATTGGGATGGAGGCGGCGCCCATGGATCGGGACGACAGCGGCGCGCAGGTGTAGTGATGGCGGTGGTGTACTGGCGTGATCGGTTGGCGGCGACGGTGGCGAACAAGGGTGGAACTAGAGATGGACTGGTGGTCGGTGGACGGTGGCCGTGAAACCTGCGAGTAGATGGACTGGTGGCGGCGGCGGCCATGCTATTGGACGGCGGCGGACAGTGAGCCGGCGGCAGCGAGGCGTGCGGGGAGCGCAGGAAGCCAGAGATCTTTTGCGTCTAGTTGCTAGGGTTGGAGAAAAAGGGTAGGAGCTTAGGGTTTTATAGATATAACAAAAAGGGTATATTTGTCCATAGAAATAATTTAATTATTTATTAATTACGAATTTTAATTAAATAATACAAATTAAGGTAATATTTTGAGAAAAAAACTAGTTTGGTCTTAGATTGGGAAAGTGAAAGTGTTTTAGTCATATGGGGATAATTATATCTTTTTTTGAACTTTTTCTCATGTTCCAGGTTGCTGAGGCGTAGTTCGCCGATCGTGGACGGTGGCCGGCACTGGTGCGGATAGATATTTTTCAGGTGCAATGAACAGGGACTGACTGGTTGATGAAGTTGTTCCATCGGCGAATACCTCAGCTCTCGGATTACTTTATAAGTTCAGCATCGTCATTCATTTCATGCAAGTGGTAGTTACATCTCGCCACGGATTCCGTAAAAAGTTAGTGCCCAATGTGAATGGCTCTAATCTCTCACTTGATTTCCACCACGGATTCATTCACCTCCATAATAACTACCACTCTGGATATTTGCATGCAAATCTCTACATTCATCATGCTCTGTCTATTGTTAACACATTTCCGATTTGCTTACGTATTGTGGCACTGACTTCATTCACATTTCTACATACAGTGTCTCTATCGCCTAAATGTATCTAAATGGGAGAGAACCCATTTATTCTTAACCTTTATTCTTAACACTTTTGGACAGTATTCGTTGGATTCTTTTGTCTTTCGTAATCTCTGTTTTTTTCATTCTAAATGGGTATTGTTTCCATATTTTGGCACTAACTTCACCCAGTTTCTTTCACATTTTCACCAATTAAGGAAAAGTGTTCTCTATAGGCATAATATAAATTATTGAACCGCTTAACAAGTGTTCCACATTCACATTGAAAGAGGCCGTGAATATACCCGATCTTGTCTTTGGAGTTCTTTATTTCCTTGTTATAATTCTTTCCTTGTTTGTGTTCTTTGTAAAACTGGGTTGCTACAATGAGTAAGGATGAAGGGGAAGATAATAATGCACTTCGTAGCGACATTTCAGTTCGTAGTGACATTTCAGGGAACTCGGGTAGGCGGTCGGATGGTTTGCCTTATGTTCACAAGGTGGGAGTGCCTCCTAAGGAGAGCTTGTTCAGGGCATTCAAAACCAATGTTAAGGAAACCTTCTTCCATGATGATCTTTTGCGCCCATTTAAGGATCAACCCTGGATGAAAAAGTTTGTTTTGGGAATCCAAGCTGTGTTCCCCATTATTGAATGGGGCAGATCGTATGACCTTTCCAAGCTTAAAGGCGATCTCATTGCTGGACTTACCATCGCTAGCCTTTGCATTCCTCAGGTTTGTGAAGAATTCATTCAAGGCCTCGTTTGGATCTCTACTTTTACCTATCAAAGCTCAATTGCTAGGCCTTAAATTACTAGGATTTAGATAAAGTCATGTTTGGAATGATCACTCCCAAATGATAGTTGATAGCAGTCGTACAAATGATATAACTAATAGCTGAAGATCTAGGTGATCTCAGTACATTTGTTTGCTAAACGTAATTGGTAAGCTTACTTTACGAATACAAAACAGCAGAAAAGATACGTTTAAAGTAAATTTGAAGTAAATATGAGGTTTAAAAGGCAACTATAAGAGAAAAGGTCATGGAACTTTTCCAAACAAGTAAACAAAATCTTATGAAATAAACTTGAACTTATCAAATAAGTCTATCTAACTAAACAGCACTAATGTGAAAACCTCCCTTGTAAAAGCTCGTAATTAACTTATGGCGTGTCAAACATAACTTTGAAATTTGGTGTTGGGTTGTTAACTTTGTTATATATACAGGACATTGGATACTCAAAACTTGCCAATTTGGATCCTCAATATGGGCTTTGTATGTTAAACATGTTCTTTATCTCTTATTAACACAACTTTTCTTTCTTTTACTACTATACATTAACTATTTTGTTGTTGTTGTTGCTGCTGTTTATGTTTGTGGCACTAAAGATAGTAGCTTTGTTCCCCCTTTAATCTATGCATTCATGGGTAGCTCAAGAGATATTGCCATAGGGCCTGTGGCTGTGGTGTCTCTATTGCTTGGAAGTATGCTACAGGATGAGATTGATCCGATCAAGCAGAAAGTGGAATATCATCGCCTTGCTTTTACTGCTACATTCTTTGCTGGCATTACTCAGTTTGTACTTGGTTTCTTCAGGTACGTAATTTGGTTATTTTTCTAGTATATACCTATGGATCACATACACTTCAGAATGTCCAAGTATCAGGCACATGGACACACGGCGTGGAACACGTAGAACCGTAGATACACAGATGCGACACTATTGAGATACAATTTTTTTGTCTTTATATAGTTTCCTACAAAAAAGAAATATATAGAGACATTTTTGAAATGTTAAAACCTGAAGTCTCTTCATTTAACCATTACTGTGCTTAGTTTGAATATTTATAAGGTGATAGAGTATTCATTTTTGTTGTTTTTGTTTATCTGAATTCATAGCTTGGTATTGTGTCTTTTGTTTTAACCCTAAGCTTCCAACATGTTTATATTTTGAACTTTGTTATACACTTATACCCCCCATCCCGAAAAAAGGAGTTGCGTTTGTTTAACGCACAACTTTATATATTTAATCAACCTCAATTAAGGTACAAGGTTTTATAAATTATGAGTACTCACTTGTACCCTTAAAATCTCTTCCCAAAATGGACGGGATTAACGGACTAAAACCGCTTGTCAGTTGGCTTTATAGGAATTTTACATAAAATTTAAAGTTGACTTTTAAAACGGGACTCTTTTTTTGGGATAAAAAGTAAAATGGGACACTATTATACCTCCGTTCTACCTCCATTATAGAACGGAGGTAGTAAATTTTATTTTAAATTTTATTTTAAATCATTTAACTTGGTCGTGTGAAGGCCTGAAGGGGAGCCTTTGTGCACCGGTTACAGTGTTGCAATGAGACCGAGAGGTCACAAGTTCAAGTCCTTGGAGCGCTTTTTGTCTAAATGACAAGGGAATGCTAGTTCCTTACTTCCTTATACACCCTTGTGGCGTGTGGGACCCTTTCCCTTGCCTCGCCTCGCGGGGATGTCAATGTGCTTTGGGCTACTCATATGATCCCGTCATATTCGTTTGTTGTATCACCATGCCCACTGTTTTTTTAAGAAAGGAGAATCTCATTAAATAAAGATAAAAAGAAAGTACAATAAACAAACCTGAAAAAAAGAAAAGAAGTCACAAAGCAACAAGATAGGGGTAAAAAAAACTAAAAAAAAAAACAAAAACTCAACCCGATGTGCAACAAGTTGTCCCTCCCGAAGAAATCCCTAGACTCGGTAAAGTCTATGCTTATTAAGTATATATAAACACATATATAATTATATAGATAAGGGATCAAATACAAACACCTATTTTACAAACTACAAACTCATCTTGGCCATCCGATGAATTGATCTATAAGCTATAGATGCACATAGACATTTTGGTAATAAAACCAAACTTTTTTCAGATGCATCACTTTAAAAATTAATATGCAACTGCTCATTTCAATACAAATTAATATGCAACACTTTGAACGTTAGTATGCAATACAAATATCGTACAGATGAATCGTACAAATATTTGCACAATAAGCACTGTTTGTACGTGATCCGCCTCCTATATATGTATATATATATAATATAGCTATGAGTGGCATGCATATGATTAAGTAATAACTTTTCCTTTTAAAATGTTGCAATTTCCAGATTGGGTTTCTTAATTGATTTTCTGTCTCATGCTACTATTGTTGGCTTCATGGCTGGGGCAGCCATAACCATTGCCCTTCAACAGCTCAAAGGTCTTCTCGGAATAAACAAATTTACCAAGAAAACTGATATAATATCTGTGATGCAATCGGTGTGGGGATCAGTTCATCATGGGGTGAGAAATTTCTTATTACATTTCATCCGCGTTTCTTGAAAAGGTCCATTTCCAATTGTTTTTCACTTTTAAAATGCAGTGGAATTGGCAGACTATTGTAATAGGAGTCACTTTCTTGGCCTTCCTTCTCACTGCCAAGCACATCGTGAGGATTTACAAACTAGAAATGCTTCTTGTTTTTAGTCTATGTATTTTTATTAGTGCAATGGAATGGTAGTCTATATTTCTATAATCATATTACTATTTCTTTATGTAATAATATGCTGTGAAAATAATGCATGAAAACATCATTCAACTTAATATTTTGATTGTCACAGGGAAAGAACAAAAAGTATTTCTGGGTTCCTGCGATCGCACCATTAGTTTCGGTTGTCCTCTCAACATTCTTTGTCTATATCACACATGCCGAAAGGAAGGGTGTCCAAACTGTAAGTGATCATCAACACACACATGTTTGTCGATGTACTAGTGCATCGATGCATGACCTTATATGTTGGTTTGTTATTTTTTATTTGTGGGTGTATGATGATTTACATATGATCCAAAAACTAGTGTTTTTGCTTTGGTGATTTGTAATTGACTCTTTTCCCCCTTTGACCTCAAAAAGGTTAATTATATAGAAAAGGGCATCAATCCATCATCTGTTAATATGTTGTATTTCTCCGGTGGTTATCTTGCCAAAGGATTCAAAATTGGAGTCATTGCCGGTATGGTAGCATTGACAGTAAGTTTAAATGATCAAGTTACATCCATCAGCTTATCACTACCAAACGATAGCAATTTGTAGTTGGTCTAAATCACTAAGAAGTTTGTGGTTTCCAGGAAGCAACAGCAATTGGAAGAACATTTGCAGCAATGAAGGATTACCAGATAGATGGAAACAAAGAAATGATAGCATTAGGGACAATGAACTTGGTAGGGTCACTGACGTCTTGCTTTGTAGCTACAGGTATTGAGCGAGTAAAAATGGTTTAGTGCATGCTGAGATGATAATATTAGGGCTGTCTGTTGGGCCTTTTTTAGTTCAGTTCCCGTCTTGGTAATTTGGTTTTGAACTTTTGAAATTTGGTGAATCGAAAACCCAGATGAATAACTTGGTCAGTTTTTTTTTTTTTTTGAAAATTTTAAGTTCAGAACCTAGGTGAATAACATAAGTCGGTTTGGGTAGGTGTTAGTTTTTCATTTGGGACCTGTTTTGATAGGTTTGGCCGTTTGGGTTCTCTTAAAGCGTAAACCTTAAACCCGTTTGCATGTGGTTGGTTTGGTTTTGGTGGTTTATCATTCGGTATTCGGTTTGAATGTTTGATAGTAGAGTGTTTTCTGTCCTAATTGTGAAACTGATAAATGATAAATTTTATCTTGTAACCTTTGGTGTATTTCATCCTAATTTTGATATCACGTTGTCTTCTGAATGAAGTCTTAGGCAAGACGTCATTTTATTGAAATTTACATTTATATTTTTTTGAAAAGTGGACATAATTAATGATAGGTGGTTGGGTTTTATTAGAGGGAGAAATAGTTATATGTGTACATATGAAAAAAGTTATTATTAGACGATATAAAGGCACAGATGAAAATGGAAACAGAGAGATTATCTTTGGGACAGAAAGGGGTATATATAATTAAATATACGGAGGAGTTTATATATGAAGATAAGATGATAGTCGAGCAGCATATAAGTAAATATAGTTTACACTAAGGTGCTGTTCTGTTCGTCTTATTCTTATTACTTATTACTTATTCTTATTTTATTCAGATCAGATCAGATCAGAAAAATTCAGATCAGATCAGATCAGATCAGAAAAATTCAGATCAGATCAGATCAGATCAGAAAAATTCAGATCAGATCAGATCAGATCAGAAAGATTCAGATCAGATCAGAAAGATTCAGATCAGATCAGACCAGATCAGAAACATTCAGATCAGATCAGAAACATTCAGATCAGATCAGAAAAGTTCAAACATGATTTATCACTTTTATTATTATATTAATTATTATTATTATTATTATTATTATTGTTATTACTATTATGATTATTATTATATAATTATTATTAATAATATTAATAATAATATGATAAAAAAATAAGATATTAATATAGTTATAATATTTTAATATAATAATAGTAATATAAATGCAATTATTAAGAAGACTATTATTATTATTACAATATTATAATAATAATATGATTAATATTATTATAATATTATATTATAATTATATGTAATTATAATTATACTTACAATTATAATTCTTATAATTATAAGTATATCAATTGTAATTATTATAATTATATCTATAATTAATTATAATTATAATTGTAATTAATTATAAGTATAATAATTATAATTACAATCATAATTATAATTATGATTATAATTTTAATTATAATATAATATTATAATAATATAATACTAATTATAATAATAATAATATTATTATTATGTTATTGTAATAATAATATTAATATAATAATATCGTTATAATAATATTAATTGTATTTATATTACTATTATTATATTATAATATTATAATTAATGTTAATATAATTATAATTATTATTAATTATAAATATACTTATAATTATATTATAGTTATAATTTATGATTATAATTATTATTTTTATTATAATTATTAATATTATTATTATTGTTACTATTGTAATTATTTTACGGAGTAATTATAATAATATTGATAACTATAGTTACAATTATAGAGATAAATATTGTAATTATAATTACAATTATAATTACATAAGTAATTATAATAAAAAATATAAATACAATTATAATTATATCTATATTTATAATTAGTGTAATATGTATAAATTTTTTCATTTTAAATTTAATTTTAATTATTATTATTATTTGTATAGTTACGATTATAATTATAATTTTATTTAAGTTATATTTGTAATTGCAATTATATTAATTATAATTATAATTATAATCATAGAAATATTCAAATCAGATCAGATCAGAAAGATTCAGATCAGATCAGAAGGATTCAGATCAGATCAGAAACATTCAGATCAGATCAGACCAGATCAGAAACATTCAGATCAGATCAGGAAGATTCAGATCAGATCAGATCAGATCAGAAAGATTCAGATCAGATCAGATCAGATCAGAAAGATTCAGATCAGATCAGATCAGATCAGATCAGAAAAATTCAGATCAGATCAGATCAGAACTTAAAAAATTCAGATCAGAAACATTCAGATCAGGCGAAGAGAACAGCTTCTAACACAAGATGTTAGTTGAGACATGGCAATAGTGAAACTTTCTTTTGTTGAGGAATTGTCCTTGTAACTGTAGGATCATTTTCGCGATCAGCTGTGAACTACATGGCAGGATGCCATACTGCAGTCTCTAACATCGTGATGTCCTTTATTGTGCTCCTGACCCTGGAACTAATCACTCCTTTGTTCAAATACACCCCAAATGCCATCTTGGCTTCCATAATCATATCTGCAGTTGTGGGGATTATTGATGTTCCCGCGGTGGTGCTTATATGGAAGATTGACAAGTTTGATTTTGTGGCATGTATGGGTGCCTTTTTTGGGGTCCTTTTCCACTCTGTTGAGATTGGACTCTTGATTGCAGTAAGGACAAAAAGCTCCTCGTTTCCTTTTCTTTTTTCCTAAATATGTTTTCATCTCTACTGGTATAGTGTTTTCATTTTTAGCCATGCTTTTTTTAAAAATGATGGCTCACAAAACTCATCATTGTCAAAAAAATGTTTAATACGTAGTATTTTTCCAGGTAGTAATTTCCTTTGCCAAAATCCTTCTCCAAGTTACAAGGCCAAGAGTTGCAATCCTTGGTAAGATCCCTAGGACGAGTGTTTATAGGAACCTACAACAATACCCTGAGGCAACAAGAATTCCTGGCATTCTGATTGTTAGAGTTGATTCTGCAATTTACTTCTCCAACTCCAACTATTTGAGGGACAGGTACCTTAATCGGGTCACAACAATTATATATAATGTTTACATGAACTGGGATCAGTATTCATGTTCCGGGTCATTTTGCAGGATACTAAGATGGCTGTCTGATGAGGAAGATGAGCTGAAACAAAACAACAATGCTTCAAGAATCAAATATTTGATAGTGGAAATGTCACGTAAGCAAATATAATGATCTCCCCCCCCCCCCGCCCATAATAAACTCTCTTGTGGCTCTATTTGGAACATGAAAAATACCCTTGCATCCATATTTAAATTATGTGATTGTCAAACTAGTAAGTTTCTTTAAGGGATAGAGTGAGTACGAGAAAAAGTGATAGTGAGAAAAATACGATCAGAGAAAAAACGGGGACAAATGGGATATATACTCAAGCTCAATGAATTTGTTTTAAACTTTTGTGCTAACTAATTATTTGTCTGCGTATTATATACAAAGTAAGAATCTAAATAAATGTAGAAAAGCAAAAAAACTGATTTCAGTTTTTTTATTACTTATTATATTATCTCTAGTTAAAGCTGATGTATAGTAGTGGCAAAGCTAAGAAATGAATTTTGCATTCGTTTTAGTAATTTCCCTAGCTAGCTAGCACTATGTAGTTACAAGCATATATATATATATATATATATATATATATAATTATATATATATCCTCATACGTACTATGTTTATTTAAATATCGCAGCTGTGACAGATATAGATACTAGTGGAATTGTTGCCTTTGAAGAATTGTACAAGTGTCTTGAGAAGAGGGGCGTTGAGGTAATATATTACTGTATGTGAAATTGGAGGGATAGAGGGAAATTGAGGTGCAAGCATTTTATTATTATTATTATTATTATTATTATTAGACGAGTAATTATTATGGAGTATTATTATAATAATAATTATTATTATTATGGTATTGATTTGGACATAGCTAGTATTTGGCATGGCAGCTTGTTCTTGCAAATCCAGGGCCACGAGTGATGGTCAAATTGGCTTCATCCGGTGTTGCAAGCATGATTGGCCAAGACAAAATTTTTCTCAGAGTGTCCGACGCCATCCTAACACTTGCCCCCAACATGGAGCCTTAAGAGCATCGGACACTTTCTAGTCTATTTAAAAGATGCCACATCATGAAATTAGACGTCGTGTATGTGATTTCCTCTCCATTGCGGATAGTCTGGAATGCGTTTCTGCTGAGTTGGCAACAAAAAAACTAAACACCATCGAGATAAAAGCCTCAATGTGGAAAGCCTGGATAACTTGCTGGCTCACAAAAATACCATACTATTCTTCGGAAGTTACGGAATAACCTTCCCACTCTCATGTTAGGAAATTTAACTCACAAACACCAAGAACAATTATAAAGAACACACGAAATTTGGTAACCCAGTTCGCCATAGAGGACTACGTCTTGGGCGCTACCAAGTCAGGAATGTTATTAATATTTTCTGGATGCAGATTACAAGAGAGGAGAGTGGTATTTATAGAGATGCAGTGTCTTGTTCCCAAAGCAACATAACCCCTAATTAAATTAGGATGTATTTCCAAAAATAAATTAAGAAACGTGTTTCCAAGAATAAATTAAGAAACTGTCTCTAACACCTTACATCTCATCGGTCTGCCATTTTCACAACTGAATCATTTTTTTAAACTGAATCGTTGGCTAGTTTTTTTTTAAGAATGGTGTTCTCCATATATCTGCACTTCTGAAGCAATGATTCTGATCTAATTAAAAATGACATGTAAACATTTTGTTTCTGCCTTTAATTTTTTTAAAACATCATATTTACGGTATTAAACTTTGTAAATTTTTGTAGTTGTTATAGATCTGATGTTTCTGGATTAATATTAACAAGAGCTATTTCGGGATTTGCTTGTGGTAAAAAAGAATACGATCCACTCATTTGTCAGAAAGATTAACGTGCTTCATGTATTTTAGATCATTCCTTATGATTTAGAATTTAACAAAAAGTTACTTTGATTTACTTTAATTTTCTCTTCATCATGATAGCAAGAAGAAACAAAAGATATGTAATTATGTAAAATAAATTATGGATTACAGAATTAGTGATCTACCTGAACTATTAACCTAGTCTTGAGATTTTATGCATTGGAGGTAGTCATGGACCCGGGCCCGGCCGGTTCCGGGCCCGGCCGGGCTTTTTTTTGGGAAGGAAGGCCCGGGACCGACCCGGGTAGCCACCGGTTCCGGTCCGAGTCCGGGCCGGACCTTTGGTTTGGTTATATTTTTATTTTTTTTTGCTTTCCTAACCCCCCCCCCCCCCTCACCCCCCACCCCCAAACCCCCCAAACCCCTCCTAACCATCAAGCCCAACCCAGGTGGAACCCCAAAAAATGAAAAAAAAAAAAAAAAAAAGTCAATTCGGCCCGGACCCGGGCCCGACCCGGCCGGGCCGATTCGCCAAATACAGGCCCGAGCCCGGACCCGCCCCCCCAACGGGCCTAGGCCCGACCCGGACCCGAGAACCGGGCCAGTTCCGGGCCCGCACAGTAGCGGGCTGGGCCGGTCCCGGGCCGGGCGGCACGAACCGGGTCCATGACTAATTTGGAGGCTTTCTTTGTATGTCATCGTCTTTCTTTTCACCACATATGATGTGGATTTGAAAGCCATTTAATTATTTAACATTTGGCATAATTTATTTAGACTAGACATTGATCCATTGTGGATGCTCTAAATGAATCAATCAATCATATTCTATCGTTTCCACCCACTTCCATCTTTTTCATTTTTTAAAAAGGCCCAGCCCGGAATATATTTACTCCCTCCATCATTTCTGTGACTCTTATTATGCATATATCATATCTTGTTGGCAGAGTTATACTAAAACGAATCATACCTTTTGAGTATGTGATTTTGTGATGACTAACACAAACATTAGTGTTTTATTGATGACTAACCATGCAGATAGAACAACAGATATAATCACTCTCTGTTCTATAAGGAATAGAAGACAGAACTATCATTAGTTATGTTATGTGTGAATGGTTGACTTACATATTAATTGATAAAGTGCCTACATGATAATAATTTGCTTATATGACTGCCCGTGATTGCTATGAAGGATTTGGGAGACCTTCATTATTTTTTGGGTATACAAGCCCGCAGAACATCTCGCGACCTCTTATTGTCCCAATAAAAATATGTTTCTGATCTTTTACACCGTTTTCATCTCCATACCGTCAAACCGGTACGTACTCCACTTCCCTCACGCACCACTCTCTCCATCACAGATGGGGAACTTTTATCTGATGCCACTGAGTATCGCAGCATGGTAGGGGCTCTACAGTACTTGGTTATAACTAGACCTGATATTACATATGATGTTCATCTGGTATCTCAGTTCATGCATGCTCCACGTACTACTCACTTATTGGCTGTGAAGAGAATTTACAGGTATCTACAGGGAACATCAGATCACGGCCTATGGCTTAAATCAGATAGAAATATTTCTGTTATTATGGCATATTCTGATGCAGATTGGGCAGGGTGTCCAGACAGCTCACGCTCCACTATTGGCTATGCTGTGTTCCTTGGCTCTAATTTTGTATCCTGGCGGTCCAAGAAGCAACCCACAATGTCCAAATCCTCTACCGAAGCTGAGTACAGGGCTATTGCTTATACCGTTCAGGACACACTCTTTGTTCATGCACTATTGGCCGATATGGGCATTTTTATTTCTGCTCCTGTTCAACTTTACTGTGATAATGTGTCTGCATCATATTTGGCGGTAAATCCTATTCAGCATGATCGGAGCAAGCATATCAAGATTGACTATCATTTTGTTCGGGAACGTGTGACGCATGGCGACTTGGTTGTCAAGCACATTCCTACTCAGTTACAGTTACCTGATATATTTACTAAGAATTTATCTAGGCAGCGTTTTGAGATTTTGCGTTCCGATCTGCACGTGGTTTCCCCTGCACAGATTGAGGGGGTGTGATCGGGCTGAACTTGCAAGTATACAAGTGTCGATGTAGTAATAAAATACCGGTAAATACCGGGTCGATCCACAGGGAAATGGTTGATATTATAAAGTCGAGTATTGAATGCAAGGAATATAAATGATATAATTTTTCAGGAAATTTGCTCTTTGAGATTGGTTTAAACAAGAATGAGAATTACTAAGGCAATCGGGATTCACCTAAATGCTTTAATAGTTATTTAATAATAGTTCTTCCCCAATAACTATGAATACGATGTCGCTAATATATTCTCAACTCCGGTTAAGGCAGCCAGAGCGTGGTTTTCGTTACGTGTAAGTCCCGTTACGACTTACATTCATCTATCGAAAACCCCGTTGAATATCAAGACATCACACCCGTATCATATAAGACCGGATATATTTCTATTCTCGGTACTATATATGTTTATCCTTTAATGTTCATAGTTTAGACTTCAACGTTAATTGCAAGCATAAACTAAATTTAACATACTTCTATGTTGTACACCATAGTCATAAACAATCAAAATGTAAAGGATAAATCACAATTTATTGGTTTAGAACTTTTATCAAACACCTAGTATGCATAGAGGTTCATCCCTAGCCTTAGCTAAGAAATTAGCCTCTAATGCTCATATTAATCAACATACAATATTGAAATGTAATGGAACATGAAATTACAAAGGAAATAATACCTAAACACCAATGGTTTCGGAGGTTAAAGTTTCCTCCTCAAGAACTTGAAGAACAATAGCAAAAACAAAGTATGAAAACTAGGAATTAAAGTATGGAATGGGATGTTATTGCTTGATGAATTGAGGGCTTTATATAGGCTAAAGAATGACATCTTTTAGTCTATTTGAGCCCAACAATCAGGTATGGAGCAATATTTGATCAAGAGATGAGGAAGGTGAAGTTTTCCCATCAAAAATCCTCTTGCACGTTGCTGTGTTTTAGCAGAAAATCGTCCCAACCGGCCCCGGTCAGTCTATAACCGGCCTCGGTCGCAAACAGGCTCGTTTAGTGCGAAAATACCTTCCGACCGGCGCCGGTTCTTGTCTAACCGACGCCGGTTGCAGCGCCCAAAAATGTACTTCGTCTTTCTTCCTCCAAAATGGATCAAAAAGTGTCTGTTTTTGTACCGGGATTTTGGGAATGTTCCGCTATGAATTTGGACATGATTCCTTCACCAAAGTTGTAGATAATGAAGTCTTCTATCCACCAAAACTTGAATGACATGATTTATTCATCCAATCAAACGTTATGGCTAAAACACTTAGAGGTATGCATCCTGAAATCCCACCACCAACATCTGACTTTATTGGTTGATTGGGTCTTGGTCCTTTCATATTTTGTCCATGACGTCTTCATAACATTTGTACCTTATTGAGTTAGCATTCACATGAAACTCGAATCGAGTGATTTCGAGTTTTATAGAATAAGTTATACTCAAATTATGGGCAGAACGTCATTCTCTTGGTCCAAAAAGTCTTTCATCGCAATGTTTTATGCTCTAACTCTCATTCAGGAGGTATTTGCCCGATTTCTCTTCTTTTCTTCAACAAATACTTATAAATACTTATGTTAAACACCAGTAAATATAACGGATATCAGGGTGTAATAATGTAATTATAAGGATTACTCTGTAATTTCTGTAAACTCTATTTTAGGTTAAATATAACCTCAACGCACCCGATAAGGTACGACATTATTTCCCAAAATTCTATTGTCTATTCTAATATAAAAGCAAAAGAAATTTGTGAACAGTACTCCCTCCCAAAAATGTCAACATCAATCTCTAATTTGTTTATTGGTTAAAAATAAATACAAAATAAATATAATCTAAAGATATTTAGTTCGGTCAATCAACAAGTTTTGTGAGTAAACCATTTCCATTGGTCCAAAAGGGAGGTGCGTGGAAATGAACAAATTTTGTGAACAGTGAATGAGATTGGTCCACAAGATTGATTTAATCCTATTGGTGGAATTGGGTGGTGGGAATAGTGGATAAGATTAAGTGTATCTCATTCCCATTGTGTAACACAGTAACTTTCAGCTATAAAAGCAGGAATTCCCCATTAGACTTCTCACATCCATTCGCACATCAACCTGAAATTGAAAAAACAGTCAATAAACTCTTTTAACATCATTGGTATGTGGTCTATGATCACATAGATTGATCAAAGAAAAACAACTTGTGCAATAAAGGTGAAGCCCATAAGAGTATGTCGAGAACCAGCTCATGATGGTTTCCCAGATTCAATGGAAGTTATATTTCATGATGAGTAGGTTAACTTAAAATTTTTGAAGTGACTGTTTAAAAAAAACAAGGCTTCAAGATTCACGTCCCAGATCAGTTCATTACTAAATTCAATGGGATATTTAAAGAGGGATACATCCAAGATTCCTTGAGCGCCACTGAAATAGACATTCTAGAGGTTTGTTTTCAGGTTTAGTAGTTTTCTTTTCATGTACCTTGATTTTATTTTCTAACAGAACACACATGTTTTCTTCTTCAGGTTGGCTCTTCCCAGTGTGTGTCTGCAACCAGTCCTTTTGTTGAACGAATGAAAGAAAATGACACCTTCATATCAAATGAACACCCCAATCTTTGGCTCTTCCCTTTATTTCAAATTTTGAGCCTACAGTATGCAAGAATTTTATCATATATACACTCAAAGGAGAACAACAAATGGGCATCCAGCTTTAGAAGTACAAGCAACATAAGAAAAAGCAAGAATATCTTATATATCATAAGTGAAAGCAAGGAAATCTTGTTGTGCTGGGTTGGGGTTTATTGCTCTTGCCATCTTATTACTTTTCATTCTTGCCTTTCTGTTCTAAAAATATATAAATTATATATATATATATATAGATAAGAGATCACATACTAAACATGCTTAAAATACTAACTTACTAACTCAATAATATGCAACAAATTAAACTTCAATATGCAGTACAAATAATGTAAAGATGCACACTGTGAATTTCAATATGCAATAAAAACAATATGCAAAACTTTGAACTTTAATATGCAGTACAAATAATATGCAACACTTTGAACTTCAATATGCAGTACAAATAATGTAAAGATGCACCGTTTTTGATAGTTTGTAGGTTAGCATGGGAGGAATGGTTAGTATGTGATCTCACCCCTATATATATATATATATATATATATATATATATATATATATATATATATATATATATATATATATTAAATCAAGTCATTAGATATATCTAGCTCCATTTCTTTATGTCTTTACCACTATTTTTTCGTCCGATTCTTTTGTTGGTATAAGATTCTTAAATGAAAAAATCTTGCTTTGATTCTTTTGGTTGATTGGTATCTCTGTTCACAGTAAACAAACATAGTAGCAAGTATTGGATCAAAGCCCATGTAATGAATACATTTACAGCACCAACTTTATGGAGTTTAGCAAAGACAACCAATTCACTTATTTCATTTCAAGAGATTATAATTTAAGATTAAAATATATACTACTACGTATTTTTTTACGAAAAATATATACATTTTAGGCAGATTTTAGCTATGCACATAAATGATTTTATTGAATTCCTGAGTTTGCATTATAATTACTAAAAAATGGACAGCCTGTTTGATTGTATCTCTACACTTGAGATTTTAAATATTGAAAAATACACAAGGATTCTGAAGATATATATGCAGATTAGTTAGATTAGGTAGAGTTTAGCAACTTCAGATAAAACATTGATTTCATTCAAGTAAAGTCACATTAAGCAGGTTATACCTATCTTGCAGCATTCCAAATATATTTTCCAAGCATCTGCTAAAACATTGCACAAAAGACCTTGAATGGCATCTGCAAAAGAAAATTGAGACTTAGTTAACTTCAATTTACAAAAATCTTTACAGAAAAATATTTCAAATGACTAATTTAACTAATTTATACTCCGTAATATACAATGGCTTATATCATACTAATTTCACAAGATTTAACTTGCAGCCTTATGTGTAAAATACACAACCTTCCATGTTTATATTTAATAAAAAATGAAAAATAATACTAATGTTCGAACACATAACATGTACGGAGTAATACTTTTTGAAAGTAAAATATTGGGAATGGATTCAAAAAAGAAAGAAAAGTTGTTGGATTGTCATTTGACATACAGATACTTTTTTTAAAAAAAATGTGAAAATTAAAGTTATTTTTTTGTTAAATGCATACACTTAGATCTGTTAGAAAAATACAATGCACATTTGTGTGTCTAATTAAACTTCCAGATATTATGTTTTAGAATATGAAATCATTGCATGTATAATCAAATACCATTTTTATAAAAGAAAAACTTTGGTAATATGGTAATAATAAACACAGATCGTATAGATCTGTAGGTAGTGAATGTCGTGATTTGTCTAGATGATGGTTTTAAGAAAAGATTTAATTAGTGAGATGGTCGTGTGTAATAGAGGAAGTGTGTTTTTACCGCTTTTATAAAACTTAGAGCGGCAGAGGAGGCGGAAGTGGTGGAGGATGCTTACAATTTGTAGGTAGATTCATGACAGCGGTTGTATACCTCGGCGAAGAATTAGAGCGACTGCTTGAATGGATTTGACCGGCCGTCCGTTGAAGTTGTCTTTATGGTGGAGCATTGGTGTGCTTGGTTATAGTCTTATAGAGGGCTGCCCAATTGAATTCGCTAGGAAGAGTTGAGGGATTTTCTTATGGTGGAATGTGGTTGGCTTTACAAAGGCTGGCCGAGTGGCCTTTGTGTCGAAGGAATGAAGGTTGTACCAAAAAGGGTTGTATGCTTTAATTATACAGGCCTGGATGTGAAGGGCTGTCTTTCATGGGTTTCTCACAATTAATGGGCTGCTCTTAGATGCATGGTTGAGATATGCCCAAAATGATCACATTGGGATTACTTCTAATTGTTTAAATAAAAAGCTATCCCTAAAGATCTAGATTATAGTTAGGGACATTTAACTTTAAATCATATCCCTAATAATACGAAATGAATAATATATGTTTTAATATAGTCAACCTTGGTCCCTTAAAACTTTGCCAAAGTTGACGGGCACAGAGAATAATAAAGTAAAAAATGTGGTTGAGGTGTGTGCAGAGGAGAGATAAATAACAGAAAATACAAAATAATTGATTAAAAGGGAAAGTGGAATTTTTTTTGGGACGTCCCAAAAGGAAAAATGACAATGTTTTAAAGGACGGAGGGAGTATTATTTTTATGTATCGTATCCAACTTACATATTTCACACGTTATTGATGTCAAATTAAACCGACTTTATTAATCCGGAATTTGAGAGATAGATGAATTATCAATCCGGAACTTGAAAGATGAAATATATCCTGAATGATGGAAAACTATCGATCTAGGACCTAACATTTCATTGATTTTGATTTGTTTAATTTTTTATTAGTTCCATTGCTAATATTTGGTGAATTTTTCTTCACAAAAGCTTATTACTTTAATAAAACTAAATAATGCTTAGATTTTTCAAAAAAAGATTCATGAAAACTAGGTTCTATATTGATAGTTTTCAATCATTTGGGTTCTTGATTGATAGTTTTCCATCATTCGGTCCTGTATTGATACATTTTCTCTTCCAGGTCACAGATTGATAATTCATCTATCTTTCAGATCCTCAATTGTTAGAGTTCAAAAATTAAATCCAAATTACATAATTTAGGAACAAACTCATGCACCATGCATCGCACAGGTTCCACTGACAAGACTCCGAATGTTATATTCAAAGAAGTGTTCAACAATGTTTAGGTTTACATTATATGCATATTTACAATGTTATGGTTTCAATGTATTTGTTGGATGTTTTTGATCTTTTAAGTAATGCTTACTACTCTCATTTTGACCAGAACATTATAAGCGTGTTTCGTTTAATGGTTTGATGTATATCAGTATTACATGAAGGTAGATGTTGTCATTAATTGATAATGTAATTTGAATTACTAATCACACGTAACTTTGAAAGAAAAATTCTCAAACCGTGGATGGCACCGGTGTGTTTACTAGTTTGTATAGACCAAAGGTGAAATTATTTAATCAATTTTTTCGATTTTATGGTTTTCCCTTCCGTTTTTTACCCAACCCTTATCTGCAATATCCCTCACAATAAACATTCCTCTATTTTTTCTCCTCACTTTTCTATTTGTACTAGACGCTATCACAAATAATCATGATGGGTGATAAAGACATTCCAAAGAAAGCTTCAAGTGGCAACGGCTCCAGGAAGAGCAGGAAGAAGAGAGGGGGTAGTAAGAGGAAGATGACATCTGAACAGTCTTCCGCTCACAACTCTATCAGTGAATGGGTTTTCCTGGACCAGAGGAGGCCCGGTAAGATTCTTGATGATGATTTTCTGGTGCCATGGCATCAGCGCAAGGAGAAATTGGTGTTTGAACTGCACACCCATTCTACTCACAGTGATGGCTACTTGTCCCCTTCCAAGGTGGTTGAAAGAGCACATCAAAACGGGGTCAGTTTCTTAATGTATTCAGTGTTTTTCAATTACCTTTTCCGTTTTGTAAATATGGAATTTCAGAATTAGTTTGCAATGCTTTATGCCTGTTATTTATAATCCGTCTGGTTAATATCTAAAGATGACATATTGGTTAGTCACTTGAACTACCTTTTCGCTTAATAATACTACCATGTTAAAATTCTAGAGCAGTAATGCAATAATCTTTATAGTTTATTTGTTGTAGAGTGGTAGTGCTCACTATGAAAGTATACAGTGTGAGAGGTGTAGTTATATTATACCAATGGTTAAGAGTATGTTTTAATGAGTAAATATTTTTAGCCCATATGGTTTGAGTTACATGGGTGAAATGGTTGAATCTTTTTGGCGAAGTCCAATTCTGCCAAATAAGTAATTCAATAACTACTTATTCTGATGATTTTGGTTATCCTTCCGATAAGCAGAACAAGCCAACTTAGGCTACCTGGTAGCCACAATTCGTTTCTGAATTTATGTGATGACACCTGAATTTCTTGCCTCATCTCGTAATTTTTATCACATGTTATACGATATTGAAGATGGTTATGTGGAGGGAGAGCATACATGTGCTGGATTGAATTAATCTTTCTCTATCTAATGTTTTTAACTCCAACATTCAAATGTTAGTTCATGTTAGCTGACTCCAAACTCTTTTGGGAATAAGTCATGGATGTTGGTGCATTATACAGTTAATTAGTTCTAACAAGGTTCAGAACAGGTGAAAGTTTTATCTTTGACTGATCATGATACAATGTCTGGAATACCTGATGCCCTAGAAGCTGCGCACAGATTAGGCATCAAAATCATTCCAGGTGTTGAAGTCAGTACTATGTTCTCCCCAAGGTTTGAATTCATTTTTATTCTTTGACTTAATTATGTAGCTAGCTGGTCGGAATGGTGACTTGTTTTTTCTGTTATTCTCTCTTATTAGGCCATATTATAAATTGGTTTGTCCTTAATCCAATACATATAATCATGCCAACTTAACTGCAATTTTGCTTAGTTTAGTCGAGTAACATGTATTGTTCCTAAGTATTATTCCACATCCATTGTATACACAGTTGAGTCTAGTATCTTTAATTGTGTGGTAACTGCTTGCTTAATTTTTTTGAGGGGGTGAGTTAGGCTGAATGTAGCAAGGATACAAGAGCTTGTTCCAATAAAGGTTTATGGGTGCCCACATACTTGATGGTTTGGGGTAATCCATTTGGGGACCGGTTTGTGCCTATTTGTCCATCCTTCATTTTTCTAGCCTGATTTGGGCTTAGTATCATGCATGTGTTGTTTATTGGACATTTGGAGTTAGGCTCGATCTAACTGTCCATGTGTCATTTTTGAAAAACTTCTCAATTGGTCCCCATTCTTAAATTGCGGGAACTCAAGCCTCATTAGCTACAGAGCTAAATGAGATCCAAGTTGATTAGGGCAGGGACTAATGAGGCTTGGATGGAGATTTGTACAATGTTTTTTTGTAAATTGCATAGTTATTTACAGGGAGGAGTCTGGATCAGAAGAACCGGTTCAC